GTCACCACTTCTCAGTCCTGAGTGTGCCTGAAGATGGGAAATAGCATCACAAGGAGAGGTCACAATTACACAGCAAGCAAAGAACATGGAAGCATTAATATGCTGGTGGATGTCACATGACTTAATGAGAATGTTTTATGAAGAGTAGGTAATTGAAACAACTTCTGGGTGCTCTTGCCACAAAACAGGGAAACATTAGAGTATAGAACTATAAAAAGTAGAAGGTCTCATGCTGTGCAAACAAAGCTGTATTGCACATCTGGCTCAAATGTTTCAAAATGACCATTAGCCCACCATTCATTTTGTAATGCTGAATATTTAGGAAGGAATCCTTAAAATACCCTTTCAACATGATACATGATTTCCTAAAGCATATAAGCAGTCACTACAAGGTTGTGTTCTGCCCATCCTAGTACAGAACAATGGTCTGTCATTCTAATTATATAATTCGATACCCTTAAGGCAACTGTTTTCCTAGTTGTAATCCCATAGAGAAACAGCATTATAACCATAAAGCGATAACTTAAGAGGGAAGGCCAAAGTGAAACTGCCCAGAGCAAGAACAGATTTCAAAAATATCATATAGACTACAAACAGCTTGATATAAGCAGCAAAGGAAGTTTGAGCAAACAGCCTGGAAAAGAGCACACCAAAGGGCAGGCTGGCAATATAATTTATGCTCAGCTGAATGGGGAAGACCTGGGTTAAGCCTCAAAGCTTCAAATCTCACCATGGGACTGGGGATTGTCAGGAGGATGAAGGGTTTGCTGCACCATCCTCATTTAATGATGTAAATGGCACAAAAGGAGGTCTCTGAATAAATTCAGCACTACAGAGATGCCATGCTGTAGGCTTGGAAGTAAATCACAGCGAGACCGTAGAAAGCACAGTGCTTTGGAACTGTATGGCTTGGACATAAAGGTCACCCACAGCAAAGCACAGCGCTTAGTGAGAGTCTGGAAAGAACCTAGAAAACACGTCAAAGCAAGTTACAAACTCCTGGCTGAATCGCCTAAGACCCAAACATTTAAGTCCCTAATCACATAGGCAGTCTCAACAATTTCAGTGAATAGTTGGCATGGATTTAACCTTGCCTCTTCAGATACACGTATTAAATAAGCTACAAAAAATGACTGTCTAACAGCCACCAAATAAGAAAGTACCAGGAAAGCCTAAATAATGTATTCATAAATCCAACCCAACAGCTGAAGGGGCACATCAAGGAAGTACTGATAGCCACACCAGGGGAAGGGAGTACAATTAGGCTGCAGCTATCACTGTTCCAGCAATCCTGTAAAACCAGCTCTTCATGGCAGAGGTTTTGCTCAGTAGAGATCTCATGCAATAGCACTATGCGGTTTGAGAAACGAAACTGCACAGCAGAGTCAGGCAGCTTCCTACAGGCTTCCCCAAACCATCTCATCAGCTCCTAACTAACTTCTTCTTTCCTCTGCTCTTGTTCTATTTAGCTGACAGTTCCTGTCCTATTTAGCTGATCGCTCCTGTCCAGCCTCCCACAGAAAAGACAGTATCAACAGGACATTGCATCAACTGCTTTGCCTGCCCTTACATACCTGATGAAAAGCTCTTATGGCCAGGACTGACTCACAGTGGTGTCCCCCTAACACTCATTTTGGGTTACCTGTTACGACATCCTTATTATGTGACAAACGTAATACCTACATCTTATTCTTCCCCACACTTCTGCCTCTAGCACAACCGATACGAAGAAATTTGCTTTCACAACACAGAACTGGAGTAGCAGGCTCGTGTTTGAATGAACTATTCAAAAACGTGGCAGCTTCATTTCCCACACAAAAGCAAGTAATACTGTCAGAAAACAGCTGTACTCCCAGGTAAGCCTTCACAACAAAACTATTACACACTCTTTTCATCTTGGAAAAGAGGAGAAAACTTCACCTAATAGAAAAACTAGAAAGAACCAAGCAGATAAAGGTGGAGAGCAGATCTGTAGAGACACATATTGGCAAATTGTGCTCTTGCCGAGAAATTAATTTTCCACTAAACTGGTGAACATTTGCTAACTGTGTTCGTAAATACTGCACAGCTGTGCTAAAACAGGAAAGCAAGCCCAACACGCCTATCATTTGATAAGAGGTTTCTCTAGTGATTCACCAAAAATAATTAATCAAAATAAAAACATGGCCAAAATTAGCACTGCTAGCTGTCGTGAGCAAAAGCTAAAGGAAACACACTGACTACAGCAAATCAAAGTTACTGTATAACCAGGCCTCCACAAAAGAACTCTCTAGATTCTTCTACCTTGTATTCCGAGGATTATATTGAAAACAGTATTTCTCTACAATAACCATCACTGAAAATAACTTTTCAGTACAGTGTATATAAGTCCACAAGGATCAGAAAGAAAATTTGAACAGATGGGATGTTTCTGGCATTTGTAGAGACAATGGTGTTTTAAAATTGTTTCCTGAACCCACAGGTGTTTTTCTGCCTTGCCTGACAACAGCCAGAAGATATAAAACAAAAGCCAGTAATATTTTTCTGTACATCCACTGAAAACTAGTTATTGCCAGCCAGAAAGATGATTTCTACAATATGTAGAGCAGTCTTTCTATCTGTTCTTAGCATCAAGCACTCCAGTGGATATCTTAGGATAGCAATATCCACTGCATATCGGTAAAAGGAACTAAAATTAAGGCCTCCCAGTAAAGTCTTAGGCATTTGGACAAAGCTAACGAAAATATTCCAGATCTGGAATAAACAGCAGTTTCTACACAAAGTTCTATGTGCCCAAGTTTTTATTCTCTCCTTATCTGGTGTTTTCTCAGCTCCAATAATGAACGCGGCAGATTCACTTTCAAGAATATCCTACTCTCTGTGAACTAGAAGTTTAGGCAGATTTTGCATCTGAAACTCTCCATAGTTTATAAAAGTGGGTTACTGACCTTCTATGAACAAGGAGAGAATGTTGTCATTTCTACCTTACTGCAGCATCAAGTTAGTTGCTAAAGGGCTAGGCTGGGAAAGAAGCCTAAAGGCTCTTAATAGATTGCCCAGATTTTTGAAAGACATTCCAAGGCTAAAATTTCTGGACATCTCACTTAATTCCTCAGCAGAAATGGAGAATTTTGAGACACGGCCTCCTTTCCTCCCAAGGAAGACATTTAGGAGAGAACTATCTCACAGGAAGAAACGCTACAGCCTTCCAAGTCTGGAAATTCACATCAGAATTGATTTAGTAACTCCATGGCTGCAGCTCTTGCCTTTAGTTGTGAAATTCATGCTGTCCAACTACAACTATATATTGAACATCAACAACAAAAAAAACCAAAACTGGGATCTGTGGCTGTCCAAGCGGGAAAGGACCAGTTACAGCGAAGTATCGAACATATTTTTTCTCAAACGTTCATGTATCAATGGCATCTAAGACTGTGCAGACCAAAATGTCTTCAGAAAGAGATTAAGGAGCTATAGTAACCACTGCACAAATAGTAGTTACTGGGCGGCTACAGTGCAAAATAACCTCACAACTCTGTCCTAGCATAACATGAGTACACAGGCCAAAGTTTCTTCATCAGTTCAAAAAACAAAAATGGGACAGAAAAATCCAGTTCTGCAAAACATGCATTTGCCACTAAAATGCAAGTGAAGAGGTCACTGCCACATGGGAAGCTGTAAAAGTGTTTAATTTATTAATGAATCTTTTCAGATTGATAATCTGTTCTCTTCTCTGTAAAACACATGGATTTCATTTGCTCTTGGGAAAATGATCAAATGGAAAATTTTCTTCCTTAAAGACCTGAGAGCAAGTTGTTACTACTATACTCAAGATGACTGATACGTGGCTACAATGCTGAAAATCCAATTTTTTTTAAAAAATAGGAAAAAAGAAAAAAAAAACCAAAAAAGGAAGAAATCTCCTCTATTAATTATGTACCAGGTTGTTTTGCAACATTCAAAACCAAAGGCACCTCATATAAGCCAAGATTCAAGACTTACAGGTTTTTCTTAGCTATTTTACTAACTTGCATTGTGGTCTTCAGTGTGTATTTTTGTATAGTCCCAGTTACTGATCTGCTAAATTGAACATGAAATTACTTTGAGAATCTCAGAGAGCAGTGATACACACAAATTTTAATGAGTCTCCATTCATTCAAGACAGCTGGGTGTTTACTTACGGGTAGTACTGAAAATTTAGCTGAGTATTTTTGATTCCAAAATAACCGAGAAAGTGCACTATGAATTCTGGAGTGAAGATTTTAAGAATTCAGTAAAGTATCCATGAAAGGTGATTTTAAACAGTGCAAAAACAACGTAACTGCAAGTCTCTGGATTTCTGACCCACATTTGAAAGTAACTAAAAGGCGTGTGCTGCTGTAAAAATTAATAAAACAAAACTGAAAACCTCACAAACAAACAAAAAATCTCATGTTAACAACACTGCCTGAAAACCCTCTGCTAAGCCAAGTCTACCCACAACTCCAGCCAGCAGAGAGATTATAACCCAGATCAAACATTTCTAATGATAAACGTAATTATGCAGTAATGTACAGCCAACAAATTGGTCTGAATCTATAAGCATTCAGATGCACACTGTAATATACAGTGATGCAAAACAATTACTTGAGGAGTTTGTATCAGCAGATTATCTTAGTAGTGAACAGAGAGGACACTCTCTGTTGCAGGTTCTTGATAGCACGTTTCGCATTCAGGTGTTAACTTTCACTTATCTGTGATTTCAACACCATCAGGCAGCAGTATGGGTGATTACAGTTTTTACTGAACCAATGGGATGCTTCCATTCACCACTTACATTTAACTTTCTTCGCTTTTCCGAAGTGACACATTCTTTTCCTTCTGATTGACGGGGAAGTTCCAACTTGCCATCACACTATAGAATGAGGATTTTTATCTACAAATCTGTTTTTCTTCCCTCATAATCCAAACACTCATTCCAATTTCACTTTATAAGCTTTTAAGATATGACATTATAATTTAAATTTAAGCATAGTACTTACGGTTGGCATAATTTTACCAGGTCCTGATCAGTGGTGTTTGGAGGCAGTGCTCTGATGTAAAGGTTTGTTTTACTTAATTGATCCCATCCTGAGTTGCTGTTGCTACTGCTGTTGTTGTTACTGCTGGTGGTGCTGGGACTAGGAGGAGCCATTGGGTGGGCTGGTACAATGGACTGCTGCAAAGAAAAAAGCATGTTAGGGTAAACTACAGATAGCACTTGCAGTATGCACATTAGCTCAGTGCCTGTTTACCATTTGCAGCTCTGTGTTAAATCAGTACATAATTATTTATTTATTTTGAATACACCTGCTTTCACACCATGTTTCGGACAGGATTTACAAGCACATTCCAGTATACCCAACCACCATGTGAAGACTCTATGCATGACACAGGCTCAAATTACATATAGCCTCTGCTGAATACTCATAGAATTTTGCACTCTTCATTGTGGCATCTGATGTGAATATGAAATAGGAGATACTGTTCTTCCAGGTTCCAGCAAGTGTAAACCAAGTTTACATCACTATGACTATTTCAGATGTCCACAAATGAATTATTGTGGCACACATGAATAATATGCTATTTTCTTAAACTATGCAGAAATACAAAAATAGGCCTCTTTTACATCTCTTCATGCTTTTAGTACTTCATACAATACTGCAACTGGTTTTGGTTGTTTTTTTTTTTAAAGATAGAGAGGGACCACAGACAGTTTAAGGACCAGACTTTCAATTAACTGCGTGCCTTGGCAGAACTATCACCTTGCCACTGATCTCAGTATGTGTGGATTATTTCAGTGTCAGGAAAAAAAAATTATGTATAATGGCGATTTAAAAAAATTAAATAATAAAGTTTCAGAAGTAGATAAGCACATAAGCACTTCTACCTAGTCCTCAAGGCATTAATGCAATTGTTCTTGAAATCAGACCCGAATGGAACATAACATCCTAGAGAAAATCTGCAATAGAGCAGTCTTAGTCACTTGCATTGATAACAGTACAACAGGACACTGTACAAAGTGTTATGAACAGGTCTGCGGTGTTGTCAGAGGAATATTTTAACAAATTACAAGAGAACTAAAGCTGCCAATAAAAGTCTTGTGACTACAAGGTTTTCACTGACAAAAAGAATCGGCTGCATGCAGCCCCTTGTCTTGCAAAAGCCTGAATGAGCTTCTACAGCTCAAGAAGCTCATAGCGAAGAACCACCCTGTGAACTGCAGAGGGAAGGCAGAAGGAAGGGGTGTATGCGTGTGTGTACGTGTGTGTGGAAATAATGTGGAATAGAAAGTGAGATGTCACTGTAGACTCACTGGTTCCCGCCCTGGTTCGACCCTCTTCTTTGGACTAGTACAAACAGTTGTGTAGCCACAGCCTGAACCAAAAAAATTATCTTCCCTGATCTGGTTCACCACATGCGGCTTTGTGCTACGCAAAAGCTTTGGCTGTCACAAGGCAGGGAACAGGAACATGTAGGCAGAGAGGAGGGCATTGCAGTTTAGCTTGGTTTAAAGCACCCATGAAACTACAGACACAGTACACAAGAAAAGTGAAACTATTTTAGAGATAACCTCAGGAAATTGGAATGAAATTGTAAGTGGGAGGAAAGTACAAAGGCATGCCTTATATCAGAAACCTCACAATAACTATGCCCTTCTTCTTTGTGTTTCCCTAAGAAGGTTTTGAAATCTTCCAGTTCAGCATATTGCAAAGTTAATTATGCAGCAGTAATAGCCTGGAAAAAGAAAACTCACTTTAAAATCAACACTGATATGTAGAAACACTGTTGATGCCTAATTTTATAGAACTGAAAATTACCAAAAAGAATGAAATATATTCCTGATCATTTAACATTTCACAAATGAATACTGGTGTTTCATTGCCATAGAGTTAGAGGGGTTTGGCGTTTGGTTTTTTCTGGTTGGTTTTTAATTAAGATTTTTAGAAACATCAAAAGCTTTTCCAGAAGATTTATACTTAGAATCAAAGCGCTGATCTAGATTTTTTTCCAGGCGTGATTTAAAATGGGAAAAAGATTAAATCCTCCCTCCAAATTTGTAATGGAAACATTGATGGATTTTAACTATAGCAGTGCAAGTTGGGCTGTCAGACTGTTCTGCTTCCAGTAACGCTAGGCAATTATTTTTAGGGTTACAAGCAAAGCAGAATGACAGAGCAACTACTTTCAAAACATCTTCATAACAAACTGAACAAACTTAGTCTGGCATGGTGCTGCTACTCTCTTCAAGAAGCCTTCAATGGAGTCCTCAAAATGCACGCAGTGATCAAATACGCAACTGCTCTGCTCAAGCTTTTGAGACACACACTTCCCTTTGTGCATGTATGGCTGCCATAAAAACTAATGTACATGTACCAATTTTCATCTTAAACAGTAATTACTACAGGAGACTAAGAGCCTCTATTCTGTATTTCAGTGTCTTTGTTTTTGTTTTTACTTCTTACAGTGTTTTTCCCCTTAAAAATCTTTGGGTTTCCGCATTATGAAGAACTGGGGTTTTTTAAAATATTGTTCCCAGCTGGGCAAAGGCAGGACAGGGGAAAAAAAAAAAAAAAAAAAAGTGTCTCAAGAAAACAGGAATCTTGACTCTGCCTTCCTGTAAAACATAAACACTCCATTCTGAGAAATTCAACTTTTATTTAAACATGAAGATGCTCTCATGCTAGTGGTCACATCCAACTATGATGGGAACGTAGATGTGATTACAGTTGTCTTCCTAAGTTTACAGATGGGAGGTTTTTCACTGCTTTCACAGAAACTCATACCTCTACCAGCCTTAAAGGCTTTACAAAACACAGATGCTGGGGACTGCAGCTCTCAAACCCTGCAACCCGATGACACAGACATTAAAGGGACAGTGACATCTTAAAGCCATAAGACTTAAACACATTTTTTACATTAGAACTTCATTTGAGAATCTGAATCACTCTTTCCACTCTGTTCCTCATCGACAGCTACTTGTAAAAACTGAATTAGAGGGGACCCTCTTTTCCTTAAAGGGGCTTTTCTTTCCCAGTTGCTGCAAAAGGCTCATCGGCAGTGCAGAGCCTCACCCCTGGAGCTGTGCTGGCACAGCCTCCTACACTGACAGCCCATGCCAAGAGAAGAGTTTTCTGCTGGCGTAGTTGCATCACATCCCCAAACGACATAAACTAAGCTGATACAAGTTCTCTTCTGCCGCCACAGCTGCATCCACACCTGGGGTTTTGCCAATGTATCAGTGTCAGCAAGGATGTATGACTTTTTTCCACACCCCTGGCTGATAGAGTGCTCCCTGGCAAGACATTCTGCAGTGGAGACCTGGCCAAAGTTTGGGGCTGTTTGTTTAGAAACAGCTTTCACAAACATGAACTGAAAGCTTTTTACAAAATCTGAAATCAATTGTGAAGAGTTTTGCTTCGCAAACTGTAGTCTTCACTGCGAATCCGTATCAAAATCTGTTCTTAAAGTCAAATCATATGGACTTCACAACAGTTTGCAATAACGTAATGTATATAAAACCACATTCAATAATTTTCCTTTTTAGTAATTGCATCTTAAATTAAAACATTGAACAAAAGTACGGGAGGAATAAATCTAAGTAACAGACCATTATTTCTTGTGACAATATTGCTGTACACAAGAAATACCATTGTCACACTGGTTTGCCATTTCCTCCTTAGTCTTCATTCCCAAAAGTAATTAGCAGTCATTCCTTCTCAGTAGTTTCCTCCCGGTCATCTTCAACAGCTAAGCAAAAAAGACCAGTGACAGGATAATCATCCCATATACTGTATGATCACCCCATCCCATTCTGGAGCCAGCTGTGAGGAGCTCCCAACACCCTTGGCCTGGTCTCCAAGGGACCAGCCCTCCAGCCCTCCACAGCCCAACCAGAGCAGTGGGAAAACCACAGGCACTCACTAGAAAAAGGAAAAGCTCAGTGACAGAAGAGTCCCTGTGGAATGCCTTTTAACCAAGGAACACTGTCTGCCTGTGTTTTCTTCTCAATATAAAACCCAAACCGGAATTGAACACAAATGCTGAAAAACAACTGGAGAAGACACCCATCTTTGCATGAACCATTCCTGTCTTTCTTATAAACCACTCTATACTTAAGGCCTGGAAAGGAGTCAGAGCAGGATTTTGCATGCCAAGGAGAAGTATCTCTTTGCTGTCAACAGGAAAAAGCCACATGAAGAAAAAAAAAACCAACCAAACAAAACAAAATGGAACAACACTGAGAAATTCCTTTGACCTGGGAGATGAGAGATACTAATCCTTGCTGCCTTCAGACTACAAAAGTCCAAGGAAACTCCAACAAGCAGAAGGTAACTTGGGTAACAACTGTCCCGAAAACAAAGAATGATTATTATGGTAGCATTCCATTCAAGTCTCTAAATTTCTGTTATTAAAAGCATGTCTATGACGTTATACAACACACTAGCATTTAATTATGAGTTCTTTCACTCGGCTAAAATTCCTGATGGGAAAAGTACCATGACTTAACAACAGAGTTCTCACACATCTACTCAAAATTCAAACCATAAATTACAGCACACATTAACTATCTGATTTATCCTGAACTGCTGCTTGGATCATCTCACAGTTTCAAAATCCTGACACTGGTGTTTGCCTAGCTTTGGTTTAGGTGATTAAGCTTCAAGTACCTGCTTATGCTGCCTGGTTTTGCCTAACCTTCCTGATTTCATTAAGTAGCATTTTGAAACAGCACCTTCAGTAACTGGGAGATATAAAAATTACCACACATTTTTGTAGATGTGTGTAACTGTTAAAAAGTATTAAATTACATTAATTTGGAAAAAAAAAAAACAAACCTAAAACAAAACCCTGTATTAGAATTAGGGGGTGATTTTTTATTTATTTATTACTCTACTTAACACAGAACTTTACGTGTACAATGAAAGCAAGGGCTCGGGAAAATAGAAGATGCCACATATAGTGAAGCAAGACACTGCCATATTCAGTGCACAACTTCAGAAACAGGAGCTTGTTTGTAATTAAATCATGTCCTGAACAGAAAGAACTCCAAATATCTAACATAAATGAGTGTCCACTGATGAATACAGTTGCTTTATCACTTTCCTATAGATAAGGAAACATTAAACACTTAGTCTAAGCCTGCATCTCTCTAACGAAGATGCCATTTTGAGTGTC